ATGGCGCGTGGGCTCTGAGCACAGCGACGGCCTCTGAGTTCTTCCCCGGGGCTGTTGGTCATGGGTGCTGTGATCACAGTGGCCGAGGTGGTGGCCCTGTGTCCATCCGAGGCAGCCAACCTTGACTTTTCCTTTTTCCCAACGTTGCATGAGGCTGAGGGCATATGGTGCCGGCACAGGCGTGCACACGGTTTCCTGAATGTACCATCAAGTTCGTTTAACACCTGTGCACTCCGGGCGTGAGGGCCAGAGGACAGTAGGACAGTCGGACACCCCAAAGTCACGGCAGACAGCGTTATAAACTGCAGGGCTTGAGGTGGGTGTGTGAACAAGGCGGCTTTCTGTGGTCCCTTCAAGAGGACGTGGACGTGCATCCACGTCGTAGAGGTTATAAAAATAGAAACAGTTTAACAGAAATCAAAGCCATTTTGATAAGCTTGTTCTTCCAGCGTCTGTGGAAATCCACCATAAGACGTCCACTGCAGGGGAGTTACTGGCTCTGCCTGACACCGTGTCTCGTCGTCTGGAAAGGATCCCGGGACAGAGGCACCACGCCTCCCCGGAAACCACGCCGGGGTCAGCTGCCCCGTGGGAGCAGAATCTGCCCTTCAGCCCAGTGCTAGCCTTTCCCACTTATTTAAACTAATAATCTGTTCTTCTGTGCTGCCTTCTTAGCACATGGAGATCTCAGCACGATTCCTAATCTGTTAAGGTAGTAGCCACCGGGTCAGCTACCCTCTCCCTGCGTTCTCTGAACACACGCCCTTGAGCAGCGCCGGCCCCATTTCCTGCTGTTCAGGGGGCGCGTCACTGCTGGGGGTTAGGGTCTGCGACCCCTCGGCCCTGGCGCGTCTTCACCAGTGACGACAGCAGCTGTCTGAGCCTGTGTGGGTTCAGTCGGCTCTGCTTCCGTGACTGCATTTCCTGAGTGTGCAAAGGAAAATGGGTGTGTGTGCAGCAGTAACCAATATGCATCAGATTATCATTGAACACACTTCTGCTTCCAGGCAAGATGGAGTAACAGGAACTAGATTTACCTTCTCACATGAAACAACCCCAAACTGGATGAAATATATGAAGCAATGGTTTGCAAGGCACTGGACAGCAGGTGACAAAGGACAGTGACCCCGAGTGACAGGAGCCCCAGCTGACGTCCTACATAGCATCCAGGTGCAGGGAGAGGACCCAGGTGGAGCCGGCAGCCTCCCCAGGTGAGGGGACAAAGCAGAGAGACTGGGGGGTCCAAAGTGGACAGAGTAGCACAGAGAGAGCTGCACAGCCCCCTAGAGTGTGCAGCTGAGCGCTGATCCCCTCACATAGGTGAGGACACCGGCAGGGCTGGGAGTGGACCACTGCAAATGTCAGAGGGGGCAGAGCCTGACACCCACACAAGGTCATGAGTGACGCGTGTACCGGCCAACAAGAAGACTTCACAGTTCTCGGGCGTTTGGGGTGCCTGGAAAGAAGGAGATCGCTCTGGAGAGGGGATGGTAGACCATAGCCTGAGCTCTGCCCTGGTCTTGCCTACAAATCTTAGCAGCAAGGCAGAGAGACCAAACTGCATCTCAGACCAAACTTCAAGCAAATTTGCTGTATAAGAATACAGAAATATCTAGCACCCAAAAGGTACACTTAACAACCTCTGGCATTCAATGAAAACTATTAGGTGTGCAAAGAAGCAAAAAAAAAATAAGACCCATAATGAGAAGATAGATGAATCCATTGAAATGGACCTAGAACTGACACAGGGCAATAAAACAGTATTATAACTTATTCCATGTGTTCTAAGACTATAGCAACACTACCGATTAAATTCATGGAGGTAAAAACTACGATGCATGAGATAAAATACACAAGGGGTTACTGGCAGGTTAGACCATGGAGAAGTGTAGCAATGCCAACTTCCCAAAATGAAACAGAGATAAAAGAAAATTAAAAAATAAACCATCCCAGGGACTTCCCTGGCCGTCTACTAGTTAGGACTCTGTGCGTCCGTTGCAGGGGGCACGGGTTTGATCCCTGGTTGGGGAGTTAAGATCCCACATGCTGTGTGGCACGGCCACCAAAAAATAAAAAATCATCAGTGGCCTGTGGAACAGCTTGACACAGCCTCATGTATGTTTAGTTGAAGCTCTTGAAAAAGGGGAGAAAATATTGGGGTTGGAGTGCAGAAAAGATGTGAGAGAAAAAATGAATGCCAAAATGTTTCCAAATTTGATGTAAACTAAACCCAAAGGTGCAAGAAGCTCGATGAAGCCCAAGAGGGAGGCTCGGCGTGTCCAGCACTCCCACTGCTCAACTCCGTGGTCACGGGGAACCCTTAAGGCAGCAGGAGACGGCACTACACAGGGTGGGGGTGGGGACAGAGGTGAGGACGCTCACCCACCCACGCCCGTGACCAGAGGGCTGCTCGGGCTTTGTTTTGGGAACTAATCCCTGTGTGCCTGAGCAGAACCCACATGTTCCAGAAAACGAGTCCAGGGTCCTGAAGATGCCCCCTAAATCGGGCTTGTTCATCATGTTGTCCTATCTGTATTTTTACTTCCTTTCCAATGTGGTGGCCTGACACAGCCGAGAGGGGTGTGTTGGAAGCACTTCTCCATTTTTCCCGTGGCTTCTGCCAATGTTTGCATTACGTGTTTTTCTTTGATGGTGGTAAACTCAGCTTTTATTTATCTAAGAATGTGTTTTTGCTCTTTTTCCTAAGTACACATTGTTGGGTACATGCTTCTAGGTTGATGCCCATTTCTGTCACACTTTGTGGACATCACTTCCCTCCTTTTGTTGTTACTGTCCAGAAGTCTCCTGTTCTCTGTAGGTGATCCGTTCTCTTTCTGGTTGCTTTCAAGGTCAGAATGTCTGGTGTTCTGCCTTTCTCTCCAAGATGCCTACGTGTGGGTTTCTTTTTTATTTATGCAGCTTGTTATACATTATGCCTCCTGTACCTGTACTTTCACGTCCTTTGTTAGTTCAGGGGAACCCTAATATCATTCCTTATAACACTTCCCTCCCTGAGTTCTTGTCTTCCTGTCCTCTAGCATCTGAGACCCCATCTTTCCTCTGTCTCTGCCAACCTTCTCTTCTTTCTGTCCATCTCTCATCCTCTCTGCTGCGTCTGCATTCTGAGTAATTTCTTCAGATGATTTTCCTGTTTAATAACTCTTTCTTCAACTATGTTTAATCTGATCTTTCATTTACCTGTTACGTTTATTTTAACATGTATATTTATTTCTAAAAAGTCTATTTGCATCTTTTACATATCTTCCTGATCATGAAGAAAATTTTCTTCTTGCTTATTTCTGTGATTTTCATATATTTAAATATTTCATGCACCCTACTGAATATTCCATCTTTCTAATTCCAAATCTCAAGTTTCTGGGGCCTAAATCCACTTTTACTGTTTCTGTTGACTTCCACTCACAATGGTGTGTTTTCTCTGATCTTTGATTGTGAGCTGATTTTGATTGATCTTAAACGCTGAAATCTAGAAATCTAAGAAATCTAGGATCTCAACTTCGGCCGCCTTATTTCAGTTTATTTCTGCTGGAGTCCCTGATTTAGTCCTGGAATCTTGCACCCAGCCCTGCTCTTGGTTCAAGGCCTAGTTTCAAAGAAGCCCACCCTTCTGTGTGCTCACTACTTATCTCCCAGCTCCCTTTCTCTAGTTTCTTGAGCGTTTTCTCACTTTCTTCAATGCAGGATGCAATAAAAATGCATTTTTAAGCAAGTGCTTACTGCTCTGTAGTAAAAACGTCCCCATACAGCCTGGGAGCCCTTTCTTCATGTCTCGTGTCCTAGGTCCTCAGTCCATATTCATGACTCAGAGGGCCACAGCCCTAACGCCTATCATGTAGTCCCTGCATGCTTCTGGTCAGTACTTTCTAGCCACCCAGCTTCTGAACCTGTTCTCTATTTGGGGGATCTTCTGGGTCTTCTTGGTGAGCTTGGGTGGGAGGCAGAGACCACCTCCCCTCTGGAAGCCAGAGGCTCATCTTTCCTTAAGGTTGAGGTCAGATGAGCGGCTGGATTCCCTCAGTCCCATGAGCCCATGTGGACTTGGAGAGCCCCGTGCCATGGGGCCAGGGCAGCTGCCACCTGGTGCTATAATCCAATTGCAAGTGATCGGGGTGACAGCAGTGCCACTAGCAGGTCCTGTAGACTTTGGGGGCTGGCGGCAGGAGCCCAGAGGGACACCTAAGCCCTGTGGAGGAGGGCAGAGAGGGCTGGAGGTGGCAGGGAAACAGGGACAGGGAGGGGCTGCTCCAGGTTTCCCGCAGGTGGGAGGGCGCAGCAGCCTTCAGCTTGGAGGCAGGGCCCCCTGACTGTGTTGATGGGGATGAGAAGTGTGTGCGGGCGGTGGGGGGTGCTGTAGGCCCACCCTGGAGAGGCCCGAGGGCGTGTGGGGGTCTTCTAGGTGGTCCCCAAGGGAGAACACGTTCCGTCAGGAGGAGGGGGCTGGAAACGGACTCTGTGGCTGAAGAACATGGGCATGTGAGCAGGTGAGGCCAAGGGGCTCCTTGCGTCACGTGCGACACACGCGTGTGCTCTCCTGATGGGGGACCACACAGGCGGCCTGGAGGCTAACCCTCTAGGAGGGGACCTCCTCACCGTGTGGCTCACGCGGAGGAAATGGGAGTTCAGTAGCCTGCCCAGGGCCTCTGACCGTGTTGGCGGGGATAAGCACGGCCAGCACAGGTGTGACCACGGCCGTGCGGGTGAGGCAGGCTGTGCCCTGGACGGTCACCGCCTGCCGTGGGCCCGATTCAGGGGAGTGACAGAGCCCAGGCTGCCCCTGGGCCTGGGCTTGGGAGCCAGTTCTGGAGGCCCAGACCAGGCCTGGTTCACACCGGACTTCAGACCTCGGCACTAGTGTGGCGGGCAGGCCAGGGATCGGCTGCCAGCCCTCCACACAAGCAGCCACGTGAAACCCAGGGACTTGAAATTTACCAAGACTGATTTCAAGGTTGTTGCCATTAAAATTAACTTTTATTTTGTCTTATAAAACTTACTAAGGAATTCTGAAGAATTTTCTTAAAAGCTACTTAAATTCATACAGTTAAAAACATTAAGTCAACAGAGTAAAAACACGGGACCTGCGCCATCCTGAATCCTCTTCCTTCCTGGAACAACACTTAGACGTGCTTAGAAGAGTATGCGAGTCTTCAGAATATGGCTTCTAGAGTGAGTGAAGTGCAGAGATCACAAAGCCCTGCCCACGCAGCCAGCAGCAGAGGGGCTCCTGTGCTCCCTCTTCCCTCCCGACTCTCACGGAGGGTGTGGGGTCTGACAGTGGACGGCGGGGTCTGACGGCGGACCACAGGGCCCAGGTCTCCTCCTAGAATTGGAAATGAGGCCAGGCTGTGTGAGCAGCTCTGGAGGGAGGGGCGTCCTGGGGCCCTGGGGGACACGCTTGCTCTATTCAGGCTGAGCAGCCCGGTCCTCGGGCTCCGGGTCCTCAGACACTATGATCATGGTGACCTTGGCGGAGCTGCCGGGCTCAGTGGCCTCCTCGGGGCTGCAGCCCTCCTCCACGCTGACGACAGGGGTCACCTTCATCCCATACTCTTCTTCCTCGATGACGGGCAGGCCCTTGGGCACCTGGGTGTACGGCGCCATTGCCCACACGTGGGGCATCTCCTGGCACCTCCCGGAGATGTTGATGACCGTGGACTCCAAGCTCCAGGGCTTCTGGCTACTGGGGAGGACGTCCCAGGGCTTCTGGAACCACGTGTCCTTCCTTTGGCCGCGCAGAGAGGACAGGAGATCATGGGTTTCCGGGACCGACTCCACAGGCAGCCTACTGGCAGAGAAGGAGCCCTGCAAGGGGCTCTCAGTCGGCGCAGGTCCCTGGGCTCCTGCAGAAAAAGGAGACATTCCCGTGAGCACCTCGGAGGGGTGTGTGCAGGGGTGGGGGGCTCCGAGCCCAGGCACACGGCCCCGCACACGGCACACGGCGCCCCACACGGCGCAGAGCCGGCCGCTGCAGCAAAGACCAGGCTCGGCTCTGTGCACCTCCTGTCCTGCCCTTTTGCATTTCTGTAAGTTTTATTTCATTCTTCCTCAAATGTGTTTGGTAATTAAAGAACAGTTTTCTGTTCTCTTCAGATATTTTAAACTTTGCCTTTTATTTCTCTAAACAAAATAAATCCTCATAGTTATTTGGTGTTTTCGTCTGATGAGTCCCGAGGCCTCTGTTTCTGCTAGTTTCTGTGCATTCTCACGCCAGTGCTTTGTCCCCCCCGTGAAGTCGGTCACTCTTACCGAGAGCTGCTCACTTTCCCTGCAGTCCTCTTCGTGATTCTCTGATGAAGGAGCAGCAAGCAATGAAGGGCGAGCCTCAGAGGGTCTCCGCCTGGCGCCCAGGATGACCCTGACCCTCTATGTCACTTCTCAGGTTGGGGGCTCAGGGGACCAGCCCCCTTTTGCAAAGTTAGGGACAGCCTGGCGTTCCGAATAGTCAGCAATGATTTTTCTCTTTTCCTCACACCCCCAGGGTTTGAGGTTGATTATTCCTGTGTCCTTTGGGGCTAGAAAGTTGGGGTCCTCTGGCTCACCTCCACATTTTGGGGTCCCAGTTTGTTTTTTGTTTTTTTTTTTTTCGGTACGTGGGTCTCTCACTGCTGTGGCCTCTCCCGTTGAGGAGCACAGGCTCCGGATGCGCAGGCTCAGCGGCCACGGCTTACGGGCCCAGCTGCTCCGCGGAATGTGGGATCTTCCCGGACCGGGGCACGAACCCGTGTCCGTTGTATCGGCAGGCGGACTCTCAACCACTGCGCCACCAGGGAAGCCCATGGGGTCCTAGTTTTATGGGACAACTTAACCCATAAAGTGAAGTTGGCTCTGAACTTGGCCTTCTGTTTCTACCTCCTGTACGTCTGTGAAGACAAGGTCACCAGGGTTGGCAGGTGCCCTGGGCTTCTCTCTGGGGGTCTCCCTGCCTCAGTCCCAGCCGAGAGCCCCTCACCGCCTGGCTGGTTCATCACCACCTTTAGGAGGGCCTCCACGCGTGGGCGCACCCTCACACCTATGGTGCTTGCTGTGGGGAGCACCCTCTGTCCTCAGAATCAACCTGCATACTCGGGCTCATGGAGCAGCCTCTCTCTTCCCCCCTCCCTGCTTCACTGATGCCACGTTTGTGTTTGCGAGCCTTCAAATCCAGCTTACGTGGAATGACGTAACATCAGTTAACCCTCCAGCCTCCGTCTCCCCTCCAGGAGTCGGAGTCTCCGAGTCCTACATCGAGCGTGCTGAAGAGTTAACGGCTCAAGGAGGTGTCCCGTGTGCTCCACCGGGACACACACTCATGAGACCATATCGTCATGAACGTTAGTTGGTGAAAGGCTGAGTGGTGAATATTTTTTTAAACTCTGGAAGGATGAAGACTCACAAACAGTGATGACGCTGCGTGAAATCACTCGAGACCCCGGCAGGTGGGATGTGGTGGAGCACATTGGACCTTCTGTTCCAATCCAGACTCTCTGGCGGGACCTTGCCCCGTGTGGCCACCACAGGGTCGGCCACCAGCACCGTTCGGGGTGCACAGCCTGGATTGGCGGCCACAGACGGATGCCCAGAGCCAGGCCTCAGTCGGGGCAGACGTTCGCTGCTGGTGCTTCGGCCGGTGTCCAGCTCCACCCCTTGGACTACTTTTTGGCACAGAGGGGGGCAGGGCAAACACATGGGACGTCGGGGGCTGTCTGCGGACACGTCACAGAGACAAGCGTCCCAGCCCTGAGTTTCCATGCTGATTTCTCTCTCCTTTTTTTTTTTCCTTAGAAAATATTTAACTCTGTAGAAAATCACACTTGGGTAGAGCTCAGCATGACCCAAATTGCCCAATAGCTTACCTGAAGCTGAGCCTTGGTTTTCAGCCACGTCTCCCTCCATGTGCTGCCTTACGTCTCGTCGATCCTTTGCATCCTACAGAAAGAGAAGTGATACGGAATACACGATGCAGTATTTGTTAAACTGCCAAAGGGGACAAAATGTAGCGACAAGAGGATGTTTTAGAGACAGACAAGCCTGCCTCTCCCCTGGACGAGCTCTGAGACGTGGGCCGTCGGTCACCTCTAGAGCCTCAGAGCATTCATCTCTCTGTGTGGCTACAACCACCACTGCTTCTGGTGGAGAATGTTGGCTTTTCCTCCGGCATGTACATCAGGATAAAGACAAGTGTGCTTTGCCTAATGTGTGTGAGGGTCTCATGGAAGCCAAGGAGACCTGTGTGGGCTCCCAGCACGACAAACAGGGGGTGCCTGGGGCACACACAGGTCACCGCAAACCTGGCAACTTCTCCATATAACTCGCTGCTCCGTGGTGCTGGGGCCTGGCTACCAGGGAGCCCCTAGTGTTTCACACCCACATCTGAATACAGGCATTTTTTTCCCTGCCCCGGTGCTAACCTGGCCCAGCAGACTGATGACTTTATTGTCCCACGTCTGCCAGCTAGCCAACAGGAAGGGTGACCACAGTTCTTGCCAGACTTGCTAAAGGGTCAGGGATGGTGATCATTTCAACTTTCAGCGCTGAATGTGGCATGAACCAGACACTGGGATTATGCAAAATTGTTCTTTGAAAATTTGGAAAGACTTACAAGTAAACATGTCACTAGGAGACTTCTAAACCAAAACAGCATATCTAAAATATGCTGGAGTCTCCCTTCCCTGATCCAATACTTCAAAATTATAGTCAACAGATAAATAGCTACATAAAGGGGTAAAGACATAACTTCAGGGGAAAACAAGAAGGGAAACCCTTGCTGGGCCAGAAAAGACAACTCCCAAAGAGGTGGAAGCAAATGGACACAGAAGGACATGGTCAGAGGAGTGTGCTGTGGAAGGTGGGAGAGACCCTCATGGAACCCACCGTGAGGAGGGCAGGGCGCTGCTATGGTTGTGGGGGGACTACCCCCAAGGGATAACTTGCTGGGGCCACTGAAAGCCGAGCAGCCAGGCGAACGATCGCTGCTACAAACCTTCCTGAGTCCACAGGCAACAACGGGGTGTCTGCCCCCAGACGAAAGCACTGGAGCAGTGATCTTGGTACAGACGGGGCAGCGTGAGAAAAAATACGCAGAGGAAGTGCTACCCAGGAAGCAAAGGTGAGGTGAGGTGTTGCCAAACCATCTAAAAATTACTGGAACTAAGGGGAAACAAAATATTACTTTGGAATGAAAATAAAAACCGGACAAAGCAGGTAGGTGAGACAGTGGACGACCGTGGAACGGAGATTTGTGGGGAAGGATGTGGCTGATGACTGTGTTGAAGAAGGTTGTGTATCAAAAGTGCAGCAATGGTTTGCCAGGGAAAAGGGCTGCAGTCGCAAGTTTAGAGGTTCTCCTCCACTGAGGTAACCCTCATGCTGAAAGGAGCTGTCAGTCACCCATCTCACACTTGGAGACCGATCAGATGCTGTAACATCTGTGGGGAGGGGGCGGTTGCCACCCCCTGTTCTTTAGTCCTGCTGCGGCTTCGGGCAGAACAACCTTCATTCCCGGAGCAGCTGGCTGATGCACTCCACAAGTTTGGGGTTGTGTGTTCTGCTCGGTCTGGCCTTGCCCTGAGGGGCAGGCACAGGTGCCTGCCTTGGTTTTGGCCCCCTTGGCAGCAAGAGCTTCCATCAGTGCCACCTTCTGGAAGACTTGAAGAGACAGAACCTTTCCCCTCTATCTGCAGCCAGACATTTAAGGAAGTCTTTGTCAGGTCACTAGCTGACCACAGAGATAACGCAAGAGAAATTTCAGTGACAAGAAGTACACACTTGGCAAAAATAGTTTGGAAAAGTCACAAACACATAGTTCCAGCCTTCAACAGGCAAAAATCTATAATCCCTGAGGAGCAAATCTGACTTCCAGAGTTACCACATTATAATACTCAGAATATCCAGTTCTCAACAAAAAATTATAAAACATACAAAGAAACAGGAAGCCTAGACTTTCAAATTAATAGTCAAGGATATTAAATCGGCTGTCTCAAAAATGCTCAGTGAGGCAGAGGACATCATGGACAAAGAATTAAAGGAGATCAGGAAAATGGTGTATGAACAGATAAGAATATCAATAAAGAGGTAGAAATTAGAAAAAGAAACTAAACGAATTCTGGAGCTGAAAAATACGAAAACCGAAATAAAAAATTCACTGGAGGTGAATCAGCATATTTGAGCAGGCAGGAAAAAGGATCAGAAAATTGATGAAACTGAAATTATCCAGTCTGAGGACCGTAAAGAAAAAAGAATGAAGGAAAGTGGACAGAGGCTGGTGGACCCGTGGGACACCATCAAAGGTATCGACATACTGGGGAGTCCCAGGAGGAGGGGAGAAGGGAAGAGAACAGAAAAATACCTGAAGAAATAATGACTGAAAGCTTCCCAAAGATGAAAAACATGCATCTACAAATCCAAGAAGCTTAACAAACTTCAAGCAAGATGAACTAAAACAATCCACACTGAGACATTACAGCCAAATTCTCAGAAGCTAAAGAGAGAATTTTGAAAGCAGCAAGAGAGAAGCAACTGACCACAGACAAGGGATCCTCAGCGTGATCAACAGTGATTTCTCATCAGATTCCATGGACGCCAGGAGTCATTGGGGTGACATAATGTCACGAAGGAAAAAAAACCCTGCCAACCAAGAATTCTATACACAACGAAAGTATCTTTTAAGAATGATGGAGAAATTAAGACATTTTCAGGTAAACAAATGCTGAGGGAATCTATCACCAATAGACTTAACACAGTTTACACAGCCGCTCCAAATTCTTCAGGCTAAAATGAAAAGATACTAGACAGTCTTTCAAAGCTGCTTGTGGACATCAGGACTCCCACAAGGGCTGCTGGTGGTGCCTCCGTTTTGGGGTCCGTCTGCTTCTATCACACACACACCATCCCGCGGCCAGGAACAGCCTTGGCCCCCCTTTCTCTGCTGCTCTGCACTCAGCTGGGCTGCCCTGAGCAGCCGGCACTCCTGGGTCACAGGCAAAGCCGCCATCCTAACCTCAGTCTGGGGAGCCTGACTTCTACACAGAGCCTCACTCTGCACTTGGGGCTCAGAGGTCGGCCCCCCGGGCTCACCTCGAGTTTCAGGGAGCTCTCTGGGCGGATGGTCCTGAGGGAGGTCACACTTGGGCACCTGGACAGTGGCGGCAGGAACTTCCTCCACTTCCCTCTGCTGGGGTCGTGGGAAACAGAATCAATGGGGAGGCGGGGGGTGGCATGTGGGGGACACGGAAGGCGGCCACATGCAGTGGCCTGGAGAGGGCTGGAGAGGTGCGTGAGCATGTGTGTGCGTGCGTGCGTGTGTGTGTGTGTGTTTGGCGGGTGAGATTCAAGTAAATGACTTGTTCCTTTTAATTTTTATTTTAAATTGTATTAAATGACACCAGATGAAAGTGATTGAGCTTGGAGGGTAAGGGTGCCATCTCCAAATGCTTACAACATAGGAAATGTTTGATAAAAGTAGCTTTTTACTTAAAGCTCTCCCTGTTGCTGAGTAAGTGAATGAAGAGTGAGTAATTTACTTACTGTCAAGTTGTGAGTGTGTTCATTGTTACACGCTATTCTAAGATATAAGACTCTCGTGGCCACACACAGTTTTGCCAGGGGACAGAGCATACGCTTTAACACGTGTGCTTGAAACTGGGTCAGGGCCTTTGTAAAGGGCCACTTCCTGCCCTTGAGGCAGGAAGGTGGGCAGTGGGCTGGCCCGTGCTCCTGGAAGGCGAACAGACTCAGCGCCCACTGGACTCAGGCCTGCGTCAGGAGGACGCTGTTGGAAACCATCGGAAGGGCATCCTACGTGTTCACAGAGAGAGAAATCAAACGAGCGTGACTCGTATGTGTCCACTAGCTCAGGTGTCAGTTGTAAAGAAGGTGACAGGGAGAACTCAGGACTTTCCAGGCTGTGGGACAGCCGTGAGTGACAGTGTCAGAGAGTTGCCTGAATAATTGTATTTTCTGTTATGTCTTCCCCCAAATACCCCATCACAGATGCACCACTCTCCTCAGGAATCTGCGTTACGAGGAGTGTACAGCCCTTTGTCAGGTAGAAAAGCTCACGGACTTACCCCACTGTGGATGAACTCAGGTTGGCATCCAGTTCCTGTGGGGGGAAAGGAGTAAATGATGAGTCATCAAGTTAAGAAAGAAGCCCTCGACATGGAACTTATCTTACACAAAATCAAGCCCATCATAAGTGGACTTTGAGTAAGGCTACCTCAGGGGCTCCCAGGTCCAGGGAAGGATCCCTGGTGGGCGGTACCCTACCCCCAGTCCTCGGGTTCTGGCCTGAATTGCATCCCCTCCATTTCTATGTTGAAGTCCTAGCCCCTCGTGACTTTGTGACTGTATTTGGAAACAGGGCCTTTAGAGCGGCAATTAATGTGGCATGAGGTCATTGGGGTGCGTCGTATAGTCCACTGTGCCTGGTTTCCTCACGTGAGGAGGAGATTAGGAAGAAGGCCGTGTGATGGCCAAGGCGAGATGCTCAGAAGAGCCAACCTTGACTACAGCCTGACTGCAGACTTCTAGCCTCCAGAATTGTAAGAAAAGAAACGTGTAGTTTGGGCTGCCTGGCCTCTGCAGCCCAAGCAGAGAAATACACTGTCCATGTGCATGTGTTTTCACTCCTGTTTGGTGAGGACAGGAGTGGGGCGGCTGGGTCACGTGAAAGCATGTATTTGACCCCAGGTGCTGCCGGCCTGGCCTGTCTTCCACATCTCACCCGCAGGGCACAGGCCTCCACCTCCCCTGCCTCTTCACCACGCTTGGTATCAGTAAACTTTTTGCTTATAGCCACGCTGGCGGGTATGTGGTGATCCCTTATTGCAGTTCTAATTTGCATTTCCTCAGTGCCTAGTGACACTGAGCCTCTTTTCACGGGCTTATTTGCTGTCCATAGATCCCTTTTGGTAAAGAGTTTGTTCAAATCTAACCCTGACCCTAACCCTAAACTTTGATGATGTCCAATGTATCATTTTTGTTCTTTTTCTTCCTTTTCTAACCTAAAAAAATTAAATATTTCATGTATTTTTATTCAAAAATCATGCAACCACAGATAACACTTTGGAAAATAGAAAAAGAAAACTAAAAGTTACCCAGAGTTCAATCATTCTAATGCATTTTCTGTCAATCTTTTTTTCCCCATTTATAGGATTTGGTTTTTGCTTTATACAGTTGCAAACATGCCATATATGTAATTTTATATACTGCTTTTCCCCACTTATTACATCAGAAGCATTTAACTTCATTATTTCATCTTCAAAGCCAGAATTTTCAATTGGCCCATCATCCGTCAGGACTGGGTGTCCAGCCCATTTTACTTAATCATTCACCTGAATTTGGATTTTTAGATTATTTCAGATTTTTCATCATTATAAACAATGCTATGGTGAACATCTTTGCAATAGAGCTTTGTCCACGTTTATGATTGGATCTTCAAGTTAATGGTAAGAAACAGTTGCATGCTCCCACATGCTGGGTGCTGTGCTAGTGGAGCATCTCTGCAATCATCACCAATAAACTTAGACGTTTGCACAGGAGTAGACATGCACAGGGCTCCCTGCCCAGGTAACCGGCAGAACCGGGTTGAACCCAGGAAGCCTTAGAGTCTATTTTCATTCTCAGGAGTGCAATTCCTGGGACCAAAAGTTTATTAATAGGTTTACCCAAAGGGAAGACCTTCTAAAATAAACCTTATGATCTAACGTGCATCCTGGTGACTGTACTTGGAATTTGCTGAGAGAGTAGATCTCAAGGTTCTCTCTCACACACACAAGGTGACGACATGAGATGCGATCATCTCACGATGTACACACATGCCATTGTTCTCTTTCATAGACAATGATTTTGGCATCGTATAAAAGAAAACTTGGCCTAACACAAGATCTGGATGCCCGTCTGGATGTAAGAATGGACGTAGGAACATACCGTTAGAGTAGCAGCCCCGGAAACACTACAAATGTTTAAAACAATCGAGTCCCTGAGTCCGGCCCCTGGCCCCGCGCCGCGCTTACCTGCAGCCCCGAGGAGCTCTCGCCTGGGATGTTGATGGTGGAGTCCTGTTCTGTGAGCTTCATGCTGGCGGGACATACAGAAGGAAGAAAGGACACGTATCAGCAAATGTGGACATTTGGGGGCTCAGAATGGGCTGTGAGAGGCTGCGCGATCATACAAGGCTCAGAGAGAGAGCAGCTCTGCTGAGCCCTGGAGTCCGGCCTCTGACACAGAGGGAGAACAAACGCCTCCTCTTTAAGCCCCTTAGTTTGTGAGGATTTGTTGCACTAGACCTAAAACGAACACAGAAGTATCGTGCTGAACTCTCCACGTGGGCCCAGGGTAATCATCTGAGCCTCTAAAACCGGAGAAGCCAGGAAGCATAATTCAGAGAGATTTGAACGTAAGAAGGACGTAAACTGCCACTGCTGACTTGCTATTCGGGGGAGGAGAAAAGGTGAGAAGTGAATTCTGTCACTGTCCCCAGTGGGCTTGGAAGGGGCTTCTCCCCCAGGACCTCCAGGGATGAACGAAACCTGGGGACACACGGTTGCTGTCTGTGGGGTGCAGAGAAGAGACCCAGTTTCATTCGACCAGGTTTCTGCCCCAAGGAAACCATGAGATAGTAAGTGTCGATGCGTGTCTTCACGTGTAAGATCTGATTCCTTGCTCATGTTCTCATCCCATCCATTTAACGTTCCAGAACAGATAAACAGTCCAGAAGAAATACTCTTTAGAAAATGGTACGATAACCACTGCTAGAGCAAGAGACACTGTAAGGTCCTCCGTGAGGTTTCCCGTTACAACTTGCCCACAGAACACCGTCACATCCACGGGCACGTATGGGGCGCACTTCTTCCTCTGGCAGGTGTCACATGACTTAGATATTTCCCCTGGTCTCTGTGAACCGAGGTCCGACCTGCTCTAACAGGGTCAGCCGCAGGGTGAGGCTGGGAATGGCCATCACAAGTGCCGATTTCCTCAACTGGATCCAAACTACTACGTTACCCTAGAAACATTTTCTGCCACAAAAAAGACTACTGGCAATTTATTTCCCATCTCATCTAGAGGATTTGTACCTTACATTGTACTTGTATTGCATTTTACCCATCATTAACCCTTTCATTAAATAATGCTAGCTCCTTTTCCAGTTGGAGGAGTAGAGGCTGGATTGGAAAAGAAAAGAATTCGGTAAAGACGGTAAAGACGAATATGATACATGCCCAAAAGGTAGAAGAAAATGTCTCGATTTTTTTCTTTTAACAGAAGAAACTTCACAATACGTGAGGCGCCTAAGGAATTATATATGATCATTATTTTATAAAATAAAACATTATGGGTACAATGCACAGAAAAATTATTAGAAGGGAAGACTTAAAAGGTACAAACCGAAATTCCAGCAGGAGCTACTGGCGGGTGGGGGACTCTGAGTGTCTTTTGTTTTTATACTGGGGATTCTGTATTTCCAAATTTTCTATCATAAATATGCATTGATTTGGAAATCTGAAAAAAATTTTGTTTGAGGTGAAAGTTTACCATCCTGGTTCCAGTTAAGTTTCTATCATTCTTACCAGAAAAGGATAAAAGAGAAACGTTCTCCGATTTTACTTAAAGGGTCCTGGTTAGATGATGCTGCGAAGTGAAATTCATAATGACTTGGATTTACATGATAGTCTCGCCAGTCAGATTTCTCAGGAAGTCAATTTAGAAGAAAACTTATTGGGTTGTTTGAAAGCGAATGATCTTTTTACACTAAATCATATTTACTGGCTGACTGTTAGACTAAGCAAAAATCTAAGTAACTCTCAGCATGTGAGAAACTGCCTAGTGGTGCATTTCTTCTAAGCTCCCCTTTCCTGGTCCAGGGAACCTCTCTGCCCTGCTGGATGCAGGATGGAGAGAGAGTCCCCGTCCGCAGCTCCCAGCACGTCCCTCCGGAAGGGCGGGGGCTGCACTTCTGGCCCCTTTTCCACTGAGGAGAGATGAATCTAGGCTTCCCTGCGCTGCCACATGGAGCAGTGATGCTGGGAAGAAGCAATGGTCCCTCCCAAGTGAAGCCATATTGAAGGCAACACCAACCCCAAACCCAGGTGTCTTGGAACGGGACAAAATCCTTTCAAAGTTTATCTGGAAAAATAAATGTGTAAGAATTGTCAACAATTTTGAAAAATGAAAACATCTTGATAGGAATTTGTCTAACCGGGAATAATGGGATGCTGCAGTAGAAGGAGATAAATGAGGCAGAAGCAGGCATCCAGGATGAGTGCAGATGGGTCCAGACACTAAAGGGAGAGCGTCTCACTTCCGCGGGGAAGGTGGGCTACTTAATAGATGAGGTGGCAACCAACAGGTGTATCGCTGGGATAAAATGACTTTGTCACCTGTCTCGCTGTTTCCAAAAATCAAGATGGCCTGAGAATCAAAATGGAAAGAAAGCAAATAAAAACTATGAAAATATTAGAAAGACTATTGGAGGATATGTGTAGAAACTGAGAGTAAGGAAGGCTTTTCAAAGCAAGACAAAAGAAAATTTTGACAAATTCAGCTTCAGAAAAACTTGTGACCTCTACATTGCAAAAGACACAATAAAGAAATTTTTTTAAATGACAGACTGGATGAAATATATTTGAAACACACAGAACAAAGAATTAGTCAATATCTTCAGTAGGCAAAGAGCTCTTAAAATTGCTAAGAAATATACAAATACCCCAGTATAAAAATGGGGAAAATATGTGAAAACCTAACGCAGCGCACACAAGAGAAATTATACAACGGTCAAAACAGATGAAATGATGCGCGTTCCCACCGGTGTTAAGAGGAATGCGCCTGGAAACAGTTACTTGTTTTATCTGGATAAAACTAAACATACTGTTAGTACCTTGTATTGACACCTTTGAGGAAATTGCTGCAAGTGTGAATTACTCTAACTTTGGGGAAAGTAATCGTGAAGGTCTATGAAGACTGAAAGTGCACAGCCAAGCCCTTTGCCCTACGGATGTCCTACAGAAATAAAACCGACTGTACCTAACAATACTGGCACAAAGAGGCTTCGGTAAACTGTCCGAAAAAGCCAAGGCTGGACATAACCTCCGGGTCTGCCGGGGGGCAGCTGACGAACTCACGGTCTATCCATGGAAGAGGATGACTTTCCTGACGAGAAGGAATCACGTCCATGTGCAGTGTCACAAAAGCCATCCACGATCCACCATCGGGGGTGTAAAATAGGGGGCTGCAGACTGACAGGCATGGCGTGATCTGATCTTTCCCTGTAAGCTTTTGTGTACGGATAGAAAGCAAAGGTGGCGGCTGCTCAGATATCAGCCTTGAGGCGGTGCTGGGGGTTTTCCATGGTCCCTATGTTGATGCAAGAGCATGTGTTACAGATATAATAATGCAGAAGCAGTGAGGTATTAATCTCAACCGACTCTCAACTTTACATGGATAACAAACACAGCTTCCTGGCATGGAGCAGGGCGTGGTGGGCCGTCACCTGGTGGGCCTGCCGATAGCACAGATGACCAAGCCAAAGGGGATTTTTCTCAACACTTGAAATCTAAGGAATTTGCCCTGCTGGGTTTCAGATTTGCTCGGGACTGGTGACCCTTTTTTCCTTCTGATTTCTTCCTGCTGGAATGGGTATGTCTCGCCTATGCCTGTCCCGTCAATGTATTTTGGAAGCAAATAACTTGCCTGGTTTCACAGGTTCACAGATGGAGTGGAATTTTGTCCAGGATGAATCAGTCATACCCTGAGTCTCAGCCGTCTCTGATTTGGATGATTTAGGTGGTGAGATTTGGGACTTAGAGCTGATGCTCGAACTGGGGGACGTTGTGATGTGGTGACAGAGGAGCGTGGATTTTGGAGGGCTAGAAGGCAGACTGTTGTGGGTTAAATTGTGTCCCTTCAAAAAAGATGAGCAGTTGACCCTTGAACAACATGGCTTTGCACAGTACGGGTTCACTTATACGTGCGTTTTCTCCAATATACAGTTGGCCCTCCGGATCTGTGGGTCTCACGTCCGAGAATTCACCCCAACTTGGACTGAAATTTCTATCAGTGGTTTGTTGAATCCTCGGATCCAGAGCCCACAGATGTGGATGGCTACCTAGGGGACTTGAGCATCCACGGATTTTGGTAAACGGAGGGGTTCCTGGAGCAAATCCCCCACGGACACTGAGGGATGACTGCATTGGAGCCGTAATTCCCAGGACGTCAGAATGTGACCTTATTTGGAGACAGGGTGTTTCAGAAGCCATCAACTTAAAGTGAGGTCATGGGGGCTTCCCTGGTGGCACAGTGGTTAAGAATCTGCCTGCCAATGCAAGGAATACGGGTTCGAGCCCTGGTCCGGGAAGATCCCACCTGCCGCAGAGCAACTAAGCCCATGTGCTGCAACCAGTGAGCCTGTGCTCTAGATCCTGTGAGCCACAACTACTGAAGCCCAAGTGCCACAACTACTGAAGCCTGAGCACCTAGAGCCCGTGCTCCACAACAAGAGAAGCCACCGCAATGAGAAGCCCACGCACAGCAATGAAGAGTAGCCCCCGCTCACCACAACTAGAGAAAGCCAGTGCGTGGCAACAAAGACCCAACGCAGCCAAAAATAAATTATAAAATAAAATAAAAAATTTTGGATTAGGGTGGGTACTAATCCAATACCCGTGGTGGCCTTGTAGAAAGGGGACATTTGTGCACAGAGACAGGCACAGAGGGAAGATGATGTGAAGAGACACAGGGAGAAGATCACCACCTAAAGCCAAGGAGCCAGGCCTGGAACAGACCCCACCACCCTCAGATCCCAGCCCACCCTGCCAATACTTGATTTCAGACTTCCAGCCTCCAGAACGGCGAGACATGCTTCTAATTCTTAAGCCGCTTGTTCTGTGGTACTTTGCTGTGGCAGCCGTAGTAAGTGAAAACACCCACCATAACACTGCAAGTAAATTCCCCGTTTCTCCACCTTCTGTGAGAAGACGACTTTTCATGGCTGCATACAATTTCATCACGGAGACAGAGTGTACTCTTAAAGTGTGTTCTTACCCTGGGTGATGACCTGTATAATGGGCCATGTTCTGCTTTTGTGATTTTGAGGTGAAAATGTCATGTGCGTGTGTGCAGTGCTCCTGGGGCAGAGTGTCACCTACCTTAGCATCTAACTGACTCAACACCGACTCAACATGAGTCAGCCTGACTTTTGGGAGCTTAATTGAAACCTAATGTTAGGAGAGGCTGTCAAAAGGACATTCAGACTCAACGGAGCCCATGTGCTCCAGCTGGCACAGAAAATAAAGAGACTTGCCTTATTTTTGTGTATTAGTTCAGATGTTAGTTGTAAAGAAGGGCGAGAAGAATTATTGTAGTTTTTGCAAGTAAGATAAGTAAAAATGAGATGCGTGAATGGCTATAATTGTTAGTAATCTTAAGTGAAACAATTTTAGTTTACATTGTGTTACACATTATTTAAAAATATTCCATCACAGATGAGTTATTTTTCAAAGTAATTTGAGTTAAGAAGAGAATACAGCTATTTTTCAGATAGATACAACAAGTCTAGTAAGCATCTAACCTACCTCTGTACAGATGAACTCAGGCTGGCAACTGGTTGCTGTGAGAATAAATAAAAATCAATAAAATTGTGAAGGAAGAAATTGTCGATGTTGAGGTTACTTGTTCAGAAAATTCAAGTCTGTCAGAGTTGATTTCAAGCAATGGTGTCTCAGGGGCTTCTGAGGCCTGGGAAAGGATCTCATTGGTGGGATAGTATCTTTCCTCCCAACCCATGTTACATGTACAGAGGTGGCTTCATTTCTCCTAGTCAGGAATGGGACTGCTGGGTCAAATGATAAGAATATATTTAAGTTTTAAAGAAACTTCCAAACTACTTTCCAAAGTGGTGTCACTTTAAATTCCCATGTATTAAGACATCCAACTCCTCTACAGGTTCACCAACACTTGGTATTGTCAGCCTTTTTAATTTTAGCCACTCTGATGCATGTGTAGTGGGGTCTTATTTTAATTTTCATTCCCCTAATGCCTAACGATGTTGACCATCTTTTCATGTGCATATTTGCCACCCATATATCTTCTTTTGGGCGGTGTGTTCAAGTCTTTTGCCCATTTAAAAAACTGGGTCATTTTTCTTATAATTGAGTTTGGAAAATTCTTTATATATTCTGGATACAAGTATATGGTTTGGAAGTATTTATTCCAGTCTGTGGCTTAGATCTTTATTTTTGTAGTAGAGACTTCTGAAGGGCAAATATTTTAAATTTTGATGATGTCCAATTTTTCATATTTTTCTTTAATAGTGCTTTGGTGTCATATTAAAGAAAACTTTGCCTAACTCAAGATCACAAAGATTTTATTCTGTTTGCTTCCTAAAGTGTAGTTTAGCCCTGAAATTTAGGTCCAAGATTGATTTTCAGTTATTTTTTTGTATGCTGTGAAGTAGGACATTAAGTTCTTTTTTTTTTTTTTTTCCCTTGTGGTTATCCAACTGTTCCAGTATCATTTACTGAAAACACATTTCTCCCCATTGAATTGCCTTGGCACGTTTGCTTAAAATCCATTTACCATAAATGTAAAGGTTTTATTTCTGGAGTTTCTATTCTGTTTCATTGATCTCTATGTCTACCCTTATGCTGGCAACCATACAGTAGCTTTGTAGTGAAATTTGAAGTCAGATCGTCTAAATCCTCCAATTTGGTTCTTCTTTTTCTAAATGATTTTGGCCACTCTAAGTCCTCCGAATTTCCACATACAGCGTGCTATTTCCTTAAAGAAAAAATCTTGCTGGGAATTCAATGGGGATCATGTATGTTTGTAGATCAATTGGGGGGAAAGTTTCTATCATGACAATATTGAGTGTTCCAATCCATAAATATTGTAAATCTTTCCATTTATTTGGATTGTGTCTAATTTCTCTCAGCAATAGTTTGTAGCTTCACATATACAGATTTTTGTGCTTGTTTTGTTATTTTATTAGTTTTTGATTCTACCGTGAATGGAATAGTTTTCTTAAGACCTTTTTCAGAATTTTCACTGCTAGTACACGGAAATGGAATTCAGTTTTTAACACTGATTTTATAGCCTACCACCTTGCTAAGCTATCTTATTATTCCTACTAGCGTTTCTGCAGATTAGTTAACATCATGTTTCCGGCAAATAAACACCGTTTCATTTTCAAATCTATACGCCTTTAACTTATATTTCTTGTTTTACTGCACTGGCTGGAACTTCAGTAAGATGTCAAATAGAAGTTTGGAATGGACATTCTTGTCTTGGTCCCAATCTTAAGGGGAAAGCCTTCAGTATATTAAGTATGAATTAGTTGTAAGTTTCACCAGTGTTCTTTATCAGATTTAGGGTGTTTTCTCCCCTAGGTTGGCAAATTGTTTTATCATAACTGGATGTGTTACTAGCAAATGCTTTTTCTGATTGATTGATGTGCTTGTATGTTTATTGTATTTTATTTTACTAATATGTTTACTCCATTAATACGATTTCAGATGTTAAACCAACCTTGCATTCCTGGACTAAACCTCACTTAGTCACAGTTCTGTATGTGTGGCTGCGTTTGGTTTGCTAATATTTTGTTAATGATCTTTGCTCCTGTGTTCAGTGATGTTGGCTCATGATACTCTTTTTTATGATGCTCTGTTTTGATGACATTATGTACTAGCCTCACAGAAATGAGTTGGGAAGCATTTCTTCCTCCTCTATTTTCCGAAAGTCTGTGCATAATTGATTTGGGTTTTTTTCCCCCTTAAAATAACAGAATTCACCAATGAGGCCATTAGGGCCTAGGATTTTCTTTGTGGAGAATTTAAAATTACTAGCTCAGTGTCTTTTTTTTCTTTCTTTCTTTTTTCTTTTTTTTTAAATGTTGAGCCTTCTCTTAATTTATTTATTTTTATTTTTGGCTGTGTTGGGTCTTCGTTTCTGTGCAAGGGCTTTCTCTAGTTGTGGCAAGCGGGGGCCACTCTTCATCGCGGTGCGCGGGCCTCTCACTGTCGTGGCCTCTCTTGTTGCAGAGCACAGGCTCCAGATGCGCAGGCTCAGTAGTTGTGGCTCACGGGCCTAGTTGCTCCACGGCATGTGGGATCTTCCCGGACCAGGGCTTGAACCCATTTCCCCTGCATTGGCAGGCAGACTCTCAACCATTGCGCCACCAGGGAAGCCGCCTAGTTCAGTGTCTTTACTTGTTATATGACCATCTGAATGTTCCATTTCTTCTTGAATCGGTTTTGGTAATTTGTACCAACTAAGTAGAATGGTAAATCCCTTTCTTAAATAATAAAGCATATTTCAACCTTAGAACACTTACAATTAAGTATGGAAAAGTGTAAGAGACCCAAACTCATAATGTTATATTTTTGCATTAGAAAGTCACCTGTGCATTGGTAATTTGGTATTTCATGTTCTTAAATGCCAAAGATAATGTGTTCTCCAGTGCAGGAGAGAGAAAGGTTTCAAATCTCAGAGTCTTAGAAGATCTGCCTGCTCTTAGGAGTTGAGCTTGGCCTCGTTCTCTCCTGTTGGCCACCAAATGGATATAATAATGTGTCCAGGAGACTCTTAGTGAGATTTAACATAATGATCAATGACAAGTGTCCGTCAGAGTGGTGACCACATGGTCAGGACTGGCAGCAGGTGTCAAATGGGACTGTCACAGGCAAACTGGAACATAGGGTCACCCTGGCTTCAATGACAGCAAAGAAAAACCCACGGACGCCTGCTCCTGGCTTGCAGTGAAGTTCACCTTTGGTGGTTGAGTCTGGGGAGGTGGGCAGGATGACAGTTTCCACGAAACGTGCTTCCGAACTTCTACAGAAGTCGCTAGCGCAAGTGCAAGCAACGAAAAGGACTGATGACAACCTCACTGCTGCTAAAGGTGGGTGCTGACCCTCGTGCTATTTCTAAATTATTACAAGGATCCCCCTTCTCTGACGCCCTTCAGAGTTTGTGGTGAGATGAAGCTCCTCCACAGAGAAAATAAAGTCACCAGCAACCTTCAGAAACTGGCAGAGTAGCAATGCCTGCTCACAAGTAGCCCACCAGACACCCCCAGAGCATCCGACCTCTGGGAGGGCCTACAATGAGCCAGCCCTGCAGGCTCGATCCTGTGAAGTTATGGAAATGATACAGCACGCTCACACATCACACACACGCCACACGCATCACACACACACAACCCAAACACATCACACTCACACATCATACACATCACACACACATCACACTCACACACACACACACATCACACTCACACACACACATCACACTCACACATCACACACACACATCACACTCACAC